TAAATAAATTCCTAGTCTGTTCAGGGTAAGTAGTGCTTATCTACTATCTGTATAGATGAGCATCTTTCTATCAGTGATATTGTTTCTGATGATTTCTATTGCTGCTATGAGAATCTTCATAAGCTCCGTTTGAACTACATTGGCAGTATTGCTCACAACCCATTTTATGTCAAGGTTTAAGGAATTGGAATATATTCAACATCCTGAGCCTTGTTTTGTTTTGGAACCGTCGGTGTAGATATGAATCGTACCTGGCACTTCCGGCTCTTCTATTTGTTCCGTTATAACTTCATATGTGACGACTCTGGGTTAGAAACCCCAGGTGTGCCACACGGTTCGCTATCACTGTTCATATGCAAAAGAGCCCAGATAACACACATAGTCCAATGGACATCCATTTTAGATCCATTTAAAGGCCAGAACGTCCATATCCGTATTCGGGCATCCAGTGTACCTCCGTTTATGATCATTAATTTGACAGCTGCATATCGATGTCCAGAGGACGTCTATTTTTGGACTTAATTTTGAGTTTAGTATTATTTTGACGTCCAGTTGACGTCCATCTTACTATATCTAGTAAAAAATTGGCTCCTTGGTCAAGATCGCCTAGCGCTTGAATGCCCATAAAGACGATGGACGTGTCGTGAGTTCGATACCTGCTCTGTTTAAGTGATTTTTAATAAAAAAAATTAATAAATGGTGTATAGCGGGTTGCGAAAATAATAAATTATTAATAATATAAAACAGTGTGTAGTGAGTTGCGGTTGTGTAAAAAAGTAGGGATGTGGTCTCATAATGGAATGTAATCCAGGAATGGACGTTTCTTGAATGTCCAATATTGAACGTCCAAATATAATCTAGAATTGGACGACCTATAAACGGTCAAAAGTGTGTCATTTGTATACTTCACTGAACATCCATTAGACGTCCAATAGACCTATTTGTGCTGTCTGGGTGACTCTGTTTTCTAAGTGTGCGTTCCATGTTAACTTATTGTTAAAGATCTTCTTGGGATTAATAGAAAGTGAATTGTTCCATAATTGTTCTCAAAATTTCCTCTTTACAGATTGACCAGGTCATCTGCTTACCCTATTGTGGAGTGACTGTCATTATTGTACCTAGAGTACTATTTTCTTTATTAAAATAATCTATTTTACTAATAATGAATTTTCTGTCATTATTACTTTAGTATGTATTTAATTCTTATGAACCAAAAAACAAAAATTTAATAATTTTCATACGTTTCTCAGTGTATTAAGTTCCCATGCTTTGGTACATACGAAAACTTATTCAGTTTCGCTTCTTGGGTAGGTATTTTTTGCTGACAGTACTATTATTAAATATGTATATGTATCACATACTTTGATTACTATACGAGGCAAGAGAGAGGTCCGACACGCCCAACATAGGGCGCGGCCATTTTGAACCCTGTGACACAGTTTACAGCTTAAGAATCAGATCGCTCACTCTGCGTCGGCACTTTTGATCTCAATGTTTCAGTTTATGCACTGTGCAACTCGGATAATACAATATATGACAACCGCCTATAATAAAACAGCAGTCTTCTGCGTATCCTGAATTTGTATCCCTGGAGTGGATGTTATTTTGGAACTTTCAACTGGTCCGAGTGAGCTGATTCTTTAGCAATAAACTGTGACTGACACTGACAGCACCAAGCAAAATATCAGATGCGTTTTAATCATCCGCTTCTGCTTCCGGAATTGTCGGTTTAGTCGTTTTAACCTGTCAGATTAAAACAAGAAAACCGACAATTCCGAAGCAGAAGCGGATGATTAAAACGCACCTATTAAAATTATTGCGCCAAGATGTAGGCAACACGTAATAAGGGTTCAAAATGGCGGAGTTTTCTATCTCCTTTTAAAAGGCACTCAGAAAGCTGCGCAGTGCGACCATTCTCCGTATAGTAAAAGAAAATCAAAGTATGTGATATGTATAAATAGTTTGTTGACAGACGTTTCATTTTTTAAGGTTTTCTTCAATATTTTTCTTACTATCTAATTCTAATGGATTGCGATAAATTGGTAGTACCTTCATTAATTAGGTTTATGTAATTACTAAATCGTGTCAAGATATGATTTTGATAGTATAGCTAGTTATTCAGTAATTGTAAATAGTTTTTTTCCAGGTAATGCATTTTTAAATGATTTTTAGAATATCTTGAAATTAATAATTTTCTCATTTCTGTTGAATTCAAATTTTCTTATATTTGGTTTGATATCTATTTTATAGTTTATATTTCTTTAAAATTTTCTTGCTTTTACTTTTTACTTTATTTAATAAATTTAAATAAGCTGACACCGACACCGGTTTTCATTTGGGTACCTTCGGCATTTTGGCTGCCAAATTTGGTCTGCTAAAGTTGACACCAGGTGGAGAAGATATTGTAAGAACCGTTGGACTGTTATCTTTATCAGAACTCCTTTTTGTTTTATTTTAAACACCATCTAGGTATCAATATGACATTTTATTATATTTTTTTCAATTGTATAAAAAAATTACGTAGGCACGTCCCTATCTATAAATAATTTATGAGCAATTGTTGAATTTAGTATTTTTTCTCTTTAATTTCAGATCCCCCGATATGCAGTCATTTGCTGGCTGGACTGTATTTTGCAGAATCAATAAAAAATTCAGGAAGTCTGTTTCTGGGTACAAAATGTAGCAGTGTTGTTAGCTACTACCTTGGATTCTGTGAATCTGGCGATATAACGGCCATGGGAGAATATGCCCATTTTGCGTAAGTCAAAAACTATAAAATTCAATAATGATTTTTTTTTTAATAGCAAAAAAATTAAGAATATAAATTAATAACACTACTTGAAACTCCAAAACAAAAATGAATCTCAGTGGGGCATTCCATGCCAAATCGGATAGGTTGAAAGAGGCCTCCATAATATTTTTAAAATTTTTTCTCCAACCGTTTTCGGGATCTCGATTTTTGAAATATTCAGAGATTTTTTTTCAAACGCCCCTAACTTCGCGAAAAATGATAAACTTTTTTGACTTTGTTTTCTAAATAAGTTTGATTGTCAACGTGTTTCTTGATAATTGGTGATTGATTCAATAAAGCGAATGCATCATTAACAACAGTGAGCACTGTTCCTAAACTTAATCCAGACAAACTACTGGTTTGTGTTGATAGTTCTTCACTAAATTCTTCTAACCCTAAAAATTTAAGAGATTAAATTTTTATTTTAAAATAATAAACCTGTTTTATCATAATAATAATATTATTCAAGACATAAAGTTTGTTTATTCTTACCAAATGGAATAGTTGAAATTGATGAAAGAGTACTTTTAGAACAAGCATCTTCCAATTCTTCTTCAAAATTGCCATCAACCTCAGGAACAGAATTAGATGCAGTATTTTACGAATCGAGTGCTTTTCTACACGATGTACAGAGATAGTCATTTGTGCAATTTGATGTGTAATAAAAGCTCGTCGGAGACCATTTTTCACTCTATGGTCTTCCAATTGTCGAGGATTACAGCACAAATTATATCTACCAAAATTTTCCATGGCACAAATATTCACAATACTATTTGCTTGTTTACGGTAATATGTCTTTTAAAAAAAGTTGATATTGATCATTGACAAAAGACGCTAATAATATGTGTTCAACAACAATACCCCTACTCTTTTTCTTAAACCTATATGTAAACAAGAAAAATTCTCAACCGATAAGTTATCCACCACACTCTTCTTTGCCGACTATAGTAAACGGTTGGAATTAATTTGAACACATAAATAGAAAAACTTATGATTAAAAATTTAAAGAATTTTCATCGTCCGTTGAATCTCGGATTTATAAAAAATTTAAACGTGTAAGGAAATAGATATGAGTTAATAATAATGTTCCTTCGGAAATAAAATTTGATAATTACCATGATAATTGTGTTTCAAATAATGATTAACACTAAATCCTGGGCATAAAATTTTTTTTCAGACATTTTTTATCACAAAAATCTGAAATGTCAAAATTAAAAAATTGATCCCACCGTTGTCCCACTATGAGCATGGCCGAAAAAGTTGTAAAATAGATGACAGTTCGTTGAGAAAAATTTTAAGGAAAATCGATCAGTACGTGTTTTTTTGTAAATCGATAATTTTTGCTTAAAAGTTAAAATTCTAATAGAAGCTTGCTTCGAAATATTTTTTTGATATTTTTCACGAAAAGTAAGTTTGAAAATAAAGATTTTTTGTTCTTATGAAAATTTAAATGAGACCATTTTTCGCGAAGTTATGGGCGTATGAAAAAAAAACTGAGAATTTTTCAAAAATCGAGATCCCGAAAACGGTTGTAGAAAAAAATTTGAAAAGGAGGCTTCTTTCAACCTACACTCAAACATAGACAAGTTTAAAAAAATCCAAGATGCAAAAGCTAAATGGTGTCCGATTTGGCATGAATTGCACCATATAATATATACATACAAAAGTTGAAAATAAATTATTTAATTTATTATTTATTAATTTAATTCTATTTTATTTTTAGAGTCAGGGGACTTTACTTCGTGAAAACATCAAGCAAGCAGCCATTTGCATTGACATTATTAAAATTTTAAATAAAAATGTAATATTTTAAAACATACTGTTACTTTCCCAAACTGTTACTTTCCTTATCAATCAGCAATTCGAACGAATCAGACAGTATTAATAACAAAAGATTATTTGGATAGTAGGAGAATAATGTGCGACCGATTTATTAAAAATGGATTATATTATAGCAATAACGGAAAAAGAAATCTTAGATGCTGGTAAAAACTTAAAAAATAAATTCACCTCAGGTTCAAACAAAATACTTCTTTTCTCTTAAAAAATTGCTTGATAGTATTAATCTATCCGCTACCAACTCTTTTTAATCTAATAATAAAAACCTCCAGTCTTTCCAGATGTTTGATTCATTTATTTTTAAAATTTTCTATAGCAGTGGCAGGAAAAGTATCCACATCACCAACGTTGTACATAAAAAAAACTAATTTTATATTAAAAATATTTATTTATAGCTTTAACAACCTTGGGACAAAATTTTCTAGCAAAATATAAATACGGTGAATTAACAGACTTTACAGGTATTTTTCTAGGAGCGCTAATATCGTTCCAAATATGAATTGTATAACTTCCTTTGGTCTCTTTTATAATATTTTTCAAATATTTCTTATTAAACAGTGTCTTCCATGAAGGACCAGGTATGGGATAAAACATATTCTGTGGATAAACTGTAAAACCATCGCAGTTTCTTCCTACCATATCTTTAGCTAATGTTACACCACATGTCTCTTGTAATACCCTAAAAACAATTTTTGTAAATTGAACCACAAGGTGGAAGAAGAAAATAAATCCAGAATATCGATTTTGAGGAAATTAAAAACAAAAGCCGTAACTTTATTTCATTTTAAAATTATAATATATTTTAATTATTACACGGCACTGGGATCCTATTTAGTGGTTTTCGTTAAGAAAATAGGACACTATAAAGGTTTTTCTACGATGACTTGTGATCAAAGAAAATATTTTTTCTACGATCACTATCCAAAGTAGTCTTTTGCGTTTCGAAATACAACCGCAAAGGTGACGTTTTCCGCTAACTAACATTAAGTGACAGCTTTGTCCCACGCCTAATTTAAATTAGAATATAATAAAATATTTCTTTTTATTAAATGAATTTTAAGTTAATTGTACGCAGTTTAATGTTTTTTGTTTTATTATCCAAGTTAACATTGACTTTGAATATTGTTTAAATATATTCATGAGACGACCATGGCGAAGGGACACTGCACGTTTTGGTGATACGTCTGTCAGTGAAAAAAATTATTGAAATAAAATGAATTTAGCTTAAAGCCAATATCACACAAAATACAACGACCGTCTCCCCTTCAAAAAACAACTACTCCTTTGGCTAATACCGCAACAGGCATTGAATTACATCTGAAGGAAAGACAGCAGAGATAGAAATTAATTTTCAACACTCTCTACTTTTATTTTGCTCACATTCTTGGACCGGTTTCGTCCTTATTAGGACTCCTCAGCAAGAAATAGATAGGTTCTCAATTCCAGTCTTTAATGGAATTAACAAATGCTACACATTTCACCAGTATACCATAAAGTTGGTTATGAAGAAAATAAGAATTCAAGTAGTGAAATGGTGTCGCCATCTGTTCTTAGTAAGGAAAATCAAAATGCGCTGTGGTACACAGTTAGAAAACTAGGTGGAACCAAAAAGCACCAGGCGGGCAATTTGTAGACGAAAATAAATCAAAACTCAAATGTGATAGACGTAAATGAAATAAAATGAATTTAGCTCAAAGCCAATATCACTCAAAATACAACGACCGTCTCCCCTTCAAAAAACAACTACTCTTTTGGCTAATACCGCAACAGGCATTGAATTACATCCCAAAAAAAAATTAACTAAAAAATTGTAAAAATGTCATGTCAAAATAATATTTTGTAAAACATTAAAAAATAAAGTTCGAATATTTAAAAATTGTCTTTCACGTATTCATGTTGGTCCTTCGAGCCGGATGGACTTGTTCATAAAGAATATAGATTAATAAGCTTGGAAGTCGTCGGCGCACATACGTTGATTTCAAGGATTTAGGCGGTCAAAATTATTTTACAGTGTATTTTGGCTTTAAATAACATATCTTTTTGGAAAGTATTGCCCATTCTCAAATTAGCATATTTTCCCGCCAAAACCTTAAAAAAATGAGAAAAAAAAGACAAAGTTTAAAAAAAACCTTTTTAATGACAAATTTTACGAACAAATAAATATTTTGATTACACATTATTAATTTAGATACAAATACATATTTTAAAAGATTTGATTATTTGTTTATAGATCAATCTTGATCTGTGTCTGAAATATCTGATTCGATATTCGGGTCACCTGGAAGTAACATATTTATTGTTTCAGGGCAAAATGATTTTAGTTTAAGGCTTTTTTTGTTTGTTTCATGCTACTTAATAATGGGTCTGAACTTAGTAATAATCTATTATATATATCGAGGTTGCAGTCCTCCCTTGAGAACTTTCTAGCATAGTTTTCACGATATAACCGAAAATGCTTATTTCTGGCTTCTGCTGCCTCTTCCGACAACTGTCCTATGGGCAATAAAGCAATTTCAATTATAGCTGCACCATGAATTAATATTTTATGCATGGTCGGAGTCATTGGGTGCCATCCATATAGGTCGACATACAATTTCGCAGTAGCCATGGCATATTCATCAAACTGCTGGACATCTATTTTATGACCACTTGAGATAGTTTCCAGTATAACCTTCAGTCTATATATTAATTCAAAATCAACTTTTGTTATATCGGCAGCTAATTGAGGGTTTTCGAAGAATCTTCTGCTAGTGTTACCATCATTGGTATTCCCGAAATTAGCTTTTGGCATGTCGACTAGCAATCCAGTTTCTTTTCGAAATCTTTCTTGAATATGTTTTTTGGTAAGTACTTCTAACTCCCTTTCTTCGTTAGTTCTCCTCTCTCGATACTTTTTTACTGGTAATTTATACGCCAGATGCAAAACGCTTTCGAACAATCTAATCCTGGCGTGTAGTATAGATAGACCAAATTCAATAGCTTTAGAAGTTGTATACTTTTGGGACAGATTGTTAAAGTCTTTAAATGTTGCTCCACATATATAACACCGACTTGTTGATTTTGTATCTGTTGCAGCATTACACACCTTACCATCGATCATCGTCATTTTGAAGATATGTTCAAATATGAATTTACTTCCATGAAAAATTACTTCAGTAGATGTTAACTTCTTGGCAGATTCTTCAACGTAACTGATTTCCTCCTTTGTTACATCAGTAGATTCTTTGACAAACCTAAATCGAATTGGTCTGCAATATCTAGGCGATGACGGTGTTGGGTTTTGCCAAATTATTTTTTTGCCTTCTTTGCCACACATTATTCGAAGTGGTACAAAAGAACTCAGAAATATATTTGCGTCTGAAGCAGTGTCATCGTCGAATTTTTGTTTATATTTGGCTTGTTGGGATCCGTCACAACCCCATTTACAGATAATTTTCAAAGAATTCCTTTCATTGTCCTTTAAAGTACAAAGGATTTCTTCTAGCGCCATTGATAAGCGCTTAACTGTATTATCAATTAGGCTTTGTAAATTGCTTTCTGCAGAGGTACTTGTGACAGTCATGCTATCTTTGGGCGGATAACATTCTGTTTTTGCCTTTAACAATAGGTTGTAGCACGGATAAAATGATTTATTTGTATTCCTGATGATTTCATATTGTCTCTTGGTCAAATCGGCTTCAACAAACATGGCTAGGGCTTGTAATGGTGTAAAAGAAGTAATTTCGTCTTGGTCTGATTTTCTGTATGCGTTTCTGTATTTTCCTGCACGAGTTGGAGAATTTGTTATTTCTTTTAATATTTTCGAAGCATCCCTTTTTCCTCGAACCTGTAATGTTGTTTGCGCTGCATGAACAATTACTTCTTTACTAAGCGAAGAACGTATTTCTTCTGTTTTTCTTCTTTTAGTCCTCTCACTACAATCTTCAAATGGTTTAGAAGGCCGACCTAGTCGAGTTTGTTTATTTGCTAACATTTCAAATGTTCCTTCTAACCAAGCTTCATTGGTTTTAAGAAATATTGCTTCTTTTCTATGGGCTTTAGACCATTTTTCTTTGATTGAGGTTTTAAAGTACGCAAATCTTTGTTTTAAATTGCTTAGATTATCTGGTGTATCACTATAAGAGGACAACAGGTGATTTTCCAGAAATTTAAGTTTTTCATCCAAGTTAGGCAATTCATGTTGTTGCATTAGATCGTAAAGATATCTGCGGCTAACTATTTTTGTACCCGAAGTACCAGGTGTACCTAAAATAAAGAAAATTGCAGTTAAGTACATTTGATTTAAAATTCCATTTTTTTTTTTAATCCATAAAAAAACATAATTTGGTCATCCGCACCTATCCGCACTCAAATTGTATGTCATTAATTAGCCTAATGTACGAAGTATATAATACAATAACAAGTATTACCCGAGAAGACGCGATAATATAACAAAAAATCCTAATAACATTAAAATTTAGTAAAAACTTCATTTAAAACAACCCTTTATTGAATTTCTATAAATATTATTATATAACGTTAAAAAACATTTAAACATATCAATAAATATTGATTCTTACCTGTATTATTCGAATCCATTAAAATAACTTTAAAATATTAGGTGGACACCACAAAATTTACCTTTGCTTAAATGTTTACACTGAGGACGCTAAGAACAATGACATGCACTCCGTGAGACGACCAAGTTTCAACTAACTACGCGCGCGCACGAAGATAGGTTCGCAAGAGGGGATGGTTATATATTGTTACTGAAACATTCCTTTGGCTCTCGTATGCTTGTGGTATTTTTAAATTCATTTTAAAAATTTGATTTTTGACCGCCTAAATCCTTGAAATCAACGTATGTGCGGCGTTGGGCAAGCTGAAGCTGGGTGAGTCCATTCCACGTTGTGGGCTTTCTAGTGATCGTCATACCGTTTAAAGTAGCAGTTCTCGTATTTAAAGTTATTTCTCGTATCTAAAGTAATTTCTCGTATTTAAAATAATTCCTTGTAGGTAAAAAGAAATAATTTATTGTATTTCACGTATTAATGTAGTTCTCGTTTTAAAGTATAATTTCTCGTTAGAATTTAAAGAATTCACGAAAGCCGGATAGTAAAAAAGAGGGATAAAATCAAATTGATCCGCTTCTCGCTCTTATTATTTATTGTATAAGTTCACGTATTGATAGGGGGTTACACGTTATAAGACAAGTAGTTAATTGAGCTTTGATTACACAAGATAATATCAAAAGAAGAGAAAATCGCTGCATGCAAGCATAAAAGGGGTATTTTTAAGGGAAAATTAATACGTTTTGAAAGTTTCTTGGCAGATAAAAAGAATCGTAAGCATCGGGGGAGTGCGGTCCACGAAAGCGAGGGAAGCACTGCTTCCCTACACCTTGAGGTTTAAAAATAAATATTTTTCAATTTACAATGCATATAAATTAATATTAAATGAAGTACTATATTTTCTCTGAAACATTACGTAAACTTTGTAAATGTACTAACAATTCATTGATGTAGACCTCAGATAGATTTCGGTTTGTTTTTCGTAGTTGTTTTTCTTTTTGTGAAATGGAGGAACTATGCACTGTGCCTGTGAACAATAATAATGTGGTAAATTATGTCTGTATTATGTGCTCTTTATTGAAAAAAGGATTTTCAAGTAGAAATTTTTAAAAGAAAATGGACATTATTA